ATCCAGTGGTGTTTGTTATATTTATTTATGCGCAAATTCCCTTTGTAAACGATAAGATTACACCCTGTCTTCCCCCAGCTATGGGTTAATAAGTAGGACTTACCATTAAATCGTTACTAACTCTAAAATATTCTTACAATCTAAAAATATTTCCTGGTTTTAATAACCTACAGAAGGTTGCTAAACCGTAAAATAGAAAATAAATCTTTTTGTCTAAGCCAACTAATATTTGTTGTCGATTTTTACAATCTATACATCCTGAATATCTATAAATATTTGGCAGATTTTTGTCATTTTTGCTCTTTTTTTTTTTGTTGGTGTAATATATATATATATATATATATATATATATATATATATATATATATATATATATATGTTGGTGGACTCTCCCGTCGTATTCGACGTATGAGGGTCAAGCAGCTCAGTTCCTCGGAACCGACGGCCCAGTCACCAGCACATGAGATTTGATTATAGTGGTGAAGTTTTTTGTGCAGAACCAACCACTCTTTTTGAAGGGCCGGATACAGACACCTACGGCACTACGTGCCACAAGCCCCCAAAAAAAATCGTCAGCAGGTTTTGAATTCAGAGTTGTCCTTCTCCTAGACCAGCTGACATCAAGACTATAGAACCTAGTCTGTCCTGGTAATTATCGATAGAAGAGGAACCCTACCTTTCCCAATTTCCTACATATATATATATATATATATATATATATATATATATATATTATCAATCTTACATTGTTTAATAGTGGAAATGAATTGCTGGAAGTTGTTTAAATTAAAAGATAGAATGATGCCTACGAGAATTGCAGTCGCGAGTGGCATGTGAGAGTTTGGAATGAACGCTCCTTTTTCTAAAAACAGCACAAACATAATTTACAAATTAGTCAAAACATGAGGAAAATTGACAACGCCAGAGACAAAACATCCTTGAAAATGGCTATAGAAGCGCTTGGGACAATAAAAACTATGGATACGTTTTATATTCCTTAACTCCTACAAAACGGAAAAATGCTAGCATCCGGAGCCAACACACACACACACACACACACACACACACACACACACACACACACACATATATATATGTATGCAAAGGTTAGTACAGAATGCTGAAACACACACACACACACACACACACACACACACACACACACACACACACATATATATATATATATATATATATATATATATATATATATATATATATATATAAAAGTAATGGGGTTGGTACAGACGTAATAAAATTCCGATAACCCAAAAAATATTCTTAAGTGAGTGCTCAATACAGAGGAGAGCAAACAATATTTATTCAAAATTATAGCATATGCATGTAATAACATCACTCAATACAGAGTAGAGCATATATATATATATATATATATATATATATATATATATATAGAAGAAGAAGAAGAAGAAGAAGAAGAAGAAGAAGAAGAAGAAGAAGAAGAAGAAGGAGAAGGAGATGTACAACTCTGAGTTTCTTACATGCAGATATATTCAGCCAGGATTGAAAACTGTCAGTTATAAAATTTCATTAATATTGTGAAGACTGTAGAGGAGTCCATTAAAAATTGTAATTAAATAAAACTAAATACAGTAAAAATGAAATAAAACAAATTAAAATATAGATGAAATATAATGTAAAAATAATAAACAAACATTTTATTATTTAATATTTTTACAATTATAATTATTTTATAAACATATTTCTCAATCATATTTTGATAATGGCATTCTCCCCTTGCTTGATGTGAAATGATTAGAAGCTAAATATTGCTGTGTGCATGAGACTCAGAGTTGAACAAAATGTGTATTTATTATTAACAGTATGAATTTAACTCTCATATTTTATATCAAGACATTTTATTACCATCAGTACTCATCATACAATATTTATACTTATACACACACACACACACACACATATATATATATATATATATATATGAAGAAATATAGTTTTAAGGTGTGATATATTTATGGGATAAAGTGCTCAATATCAAAGATAGAACGTATGTAAATATAAATATAAAAGTGAACATTGACGTCAACACTCAGAGACGACAGGCTGTTTCATGCTTGGCACAATCATCAGGTCTGACGACTGCGCTTAGCATGAAACAGCCTGTCGCCTCTGAGTGTTGACTTCAATGTTCCTACTTATATATATATATATATATATATATATATATATATATAGGTCTCATTTAAATAATCATGGTGATCTACTGGACACTATTCGTAGCATACTTGTATACAAATATAATAGCATCAACTACATGTAAAAAAAAAAAAGACTGAAAACAATGGAAGCCTTATTAATAAAACCGAAAAAAAATAACACTCAATAATACCAACTATGAACATGGACACACTATGTTGACAGTGTTTTGAAAATAAAACATTCTATAATGTTACATACTTCAATCAATCCATTTTCAGTTAACAGGAAATCTAATTCATCCTTGAAAATGGCTTAAGAT